GCGGGATGAGAGGAACCAGTGGCTGGAAACTCTAAGGGATATGGCTCAGAACCGATGTCAGTGGCGCAGATATATACACACATTATCCTTACCTTAACGACGCTATACCGAATCTCACCATTTTGTCATTCTCCCTTTCTTTCTTCTCGTACTTTATATTTCTTTTGACTGGATTTTCTTATCTTCATCTTTCACCTTACTACCTTTCTACGTGATGTACTGATATGAGGTGTGGCAAGTTGGACCGTGAGGCAGTAATGCCTGGTCCTATGTTGATATTGATGATGATGATGAGATAAATCATTGTGAAGTCAGACGTGCCTGTTACGTCGATTAATGCACCTATAGGGATGTTGAACAAGAAAGACGACACCGGGCATCCCTAAAAGGCACCATCAGTTTTTGTCAATTCTGATGACGACTCTCCATAAATACTTACACGGTTGCATGAGTTCGAGTAGAGAGCTTCGATTAGCGTTACCTACTTCTCGGCACTCGCTTTACAGTCAGATACGGCCACAACACCTCACAGTCGACAGATTTAAATATCGCTTTCTGGTCAACAAATATGACAAGTGTCGGCCATTGACCGGCAGGTATGCCTGTGTTCCAGAACCTGTCGGAGGATAAAAATATGATCGTTGCACCCTCGTCCAGCTCTGAAACTTGACTGGTTTTCTCGTGTTCAGTGTTCTCAATCTACAGTTAGGTGTCGGATAACTATGGATAGTAGGATCTTTGACGCAATGTTAGCCAAACTAAATCCCCTATGAAGTCACAGGAAGGCTTCCCCCTTTCATAGACTGGGATGATCACAGACGTAGACCAGTCTGCCAGTACTTTCTCTGATTCCCATAAACTACTCAGTATCTCTGTCAGTTTAATCAGCGAATTCCTACCTCAATCCTTAAAAACTTCAGGTGGCAGAATGTCATATCTTGCTGATTTGCATCCTTTCAGGTTCGACACAGCCTTCTCAACTTCAAGAAAAGTTGGAGGACCGACATCTACCTAATAGTCACGTTCAGACTGATGTTAGGCAACTGAAGCATTTCTCCAGGGCAGTTAGACTGCACTTCGAAGTGTTCTAACCAACGTTTTAGCCATCTGTCCCAGGAGGTTATCAGCCTCCCATCCTTTTCGGTGATGGTCTCACTCACTTAAGCCTAAATAGTTGCCACGTGTTGCCCACCTCTGGTCCCTTCTCTTCTCTCGCGTTCGCCCTCCACCACTACTGGTGGTCGGTGCGGAGATTCTTGGTCGACTTACGTCTAAGCTGCTTTCGCTCTTTATCGTGGTCGGAGACAGCTGGAATCCGTCTTCTCGCATTAATCAGTTCCGATAACGTCGCAGAAATCCAATGACGTTTCCTAACCTTCGGGTGTGGGTTACCAAATGCCTCTACGGAAGACTTAATATCACGCTAGGTTTCTTCGGGATAAGCATCACTGTCAAGTTTAAATAAATGCCTAGCTAACTTCTCCCTAAATGCCCACTTACCGTCCTTATCTACCGATAGAGCACAGATAAACCTCACTGTCTTCTGTTTTCTGTGGCCAGTGAGGCACAGACACAAAACCCTGTACCAGCGCGTGATCGGAGTCCAAACACTCTAGGAAGAGAGGCAATCCCCTCCTCCCAACAATCCCTTCCAGCAATGACTTATAGTAATATGACTTATGTGTCCATCTCTGGTTTGATGTCAGCGGATGCCACGTCACAACGCCTCTAATAAGGCCTAAAGTTAGTAACGGTCAGAAACAAGCGACTGTAGGGACAAAATTGCAACAGATGATCACCGTTGTCAGTCCCTTGGCATCCGACTCCGTAAAAACCCCTAAAATGCCTTTCGGATTGGCTCAACTTTAATATTTGACCGTCAAAGTCATCTTCCATTATGATCACATCTGAACGTTTTGCTTTCTGTAGTAAAACTAACAGCTTCTAATAAAATTTATCCTTTGTATCATTCGAAATACATGGAGATTACCTATAGGCATCCCTTAGTCCCTTCTAATCCTTATAGATCTATTTAGTCGAACAGAACAGAGAGTCCGCGGAAGCTAGTCACTGTCTCTGGATACTTTTACGGTAATTCTTAAAGATTCACTACTGTGGCCAGATGAGGTCAATTTAATAACCAAACTCCGGCCCTGTAGACATGTCTCACAGACAGCATACATCTATAGCTAAAGATACCAGAGTTTTGGCGAACGATACTTACTGTTCGATTTGGCATAGAGTTCGGACGTTGAAAGCTACCAAATTAAATCGAGAGAGGGGTCTTAGGAGACTAAAGCTGATATTTCAATGGCTTTGATTGTTGGCAACTGTTGCAGAGTCAGAGGTTGGGGAAGGTGTAGGGGGCTTAGTATTAGTATCAAGAGGTGAAGGCAGAGGAGGGGATAATTGAGGAGGGTAGGTTATGTTTAATTGAGTCTTGTGTACTACCGGAAGCGTACAGGCGGCTGACACTTCCCGACAGCATACACAGTGGAAGGCTAGTTCTTCTTGAGGTACCTGAAAAAGGGATAGTGTGACCACAGAGTCCAAGGGACATTTTGAAACCAGTCATACGCGGCAAGTTTGAGACTTTGGGTTTTTGCTTTTGAATCCGACTATGAATCCCTGTTGCGGGCATCGGCATGCCATGATGAGTGGGAGTGTCATTTAGAGGGTCAACCTTTTCCAACTCCTCCCTTCAGTGTGGCACTCCTCTTTATCCAAGAGAACCACTTTACTGCTGCTACACTCCTGTTTATTCTGCAGTACGACTTCGCCCTCAGACCCCCATCACAGTGTAGCAGTTTACGCCATGACAGGAAAGGCTTTTTGTCTAACTACTGCCCAACAGATCCTTTCGGTATAGTAGGACCTCGACGGGACAAGTGTTTTACCAGCATAGCTCGTTAGGTCATGATAATATACAAGCCCGACCACCAAGTCAAGGTAGCAGCTATCTGTCATGTGATACTGAGAGATAAAAGTTCCTGATTTCAGATAACTTTATTGGAAGAATGTGTGCATTCGCTTAGTATTCCCATCTGAATCACAAAAACCTTAGTGTCATCTGTTTGTCTGTTTGACCCTACTCATGTCATTTTATAATTCTTCATCCTAACACTACATTTCTTAAATTGCTTTTTGTTTTGATTTCGATATAATAGAAACTTCGACTCTTAAAATGGGACAAAGAAATAGTTTCTTTAGTTTATTTTACTCTATAAATTCTCAATGTACAGTGTTTTAGCACCACCTAACGAACGCTTTAGTAGAGAAACAACACAAAAGTTTAGTCAGACAGAAAAGCAGGGTTGACCTAGCGAATTATCGATATTCCTTCCTCGAATTTCTGAGTATAAATAGAATATGATCATAAAATTCAACGTAACATTGTAAAAGATCACTTACAACCACGACCATATAGATTTTGCGACATATACACAGTCCAACTATCTAAGTTTATCTATTACCTAAAGAGGCGAACCAAGAGTTTCCATTGTAGCGTTTACCGCTAGTTATCAGTAAATTCTAAGAATACTCCCCGTCAGTTACATCAAAACAGCTACCTATGAGACAATTTCAAAAGTATAATACATAATTCTAATGTGAAAGCAAACTTTTATATGAATACAATCGTTCTTAAAGTTCACCTTATAACACGCCATTGGATCTGTCACACACTTCGAACGTTGTGCTGATGCATTTGTAGGTCACTAGGTTAGCTTATTATAGATGGAGGTGAATATGCGCTGCTTTTTAATAATAACGTAGAACATGTGCATTCGGTTTTTTAAATTACGAATAAGGACGTAATTGGAGTCTCCGATAGTAATGATGTCTAAACGGTATGCAAGCTCAGACGACTAAAAAGTAGCATTTACCGACTTTAATAAAGTGCCTAACAAATGCCGGACAAAACACCCTAACATTTTAGGATTTTAGAAATCAAACACCCACTGAGATAAAATTCGATCACAGAGATCACAATAATCCAATCGTGAAATATGAATAATTCGAGTGTACCTCAGGTATAAGACGTGGAAGATTGAGAGATGTCAGATCAGCAACCACACAGCTCCAACGGCATTCACCGTCATTCTCAAGTATGTGGGCAGAAAATTGCCAGTTTATGTACGGAGCTTCCGAAATTAAATAGCGTTTGACACTAAGGAGACATAAATACCCATAAACACGCGCAAATTCACAACAATCTATCTTAGTAGATACATTTCGAGTAGTGAGTGACGATATCTTACAACGCTTTCAGAATGCAACACAGTATCCGAAATTCCCAGTGCAGTTATGACTTCTGTAAGTCTGCTGCGAGGAAAGATATTTGGGATATGAAATCGAGGGCATATGGATACGTGTGATAGTTATCTATGCTGATACTCAATACCTGCTTTACGAGCTTGTGCAAACAAAATTTTTCCAAACTCATTTCAACGTCTTGCAGAACGAATGTTAACGAGATATAATCTGAAACGACACCAAAGGCGATGATAGGCATTGAGATTGTATACCGAAACACAAGTGCGAAATGTGAACGGTGGGAACTATTTGGTATCATCCGTTTCAGGCAGCATTTACATCAGGCGCACTTTGTAAGCTCACGGCTTTAGCCCGAACCTGCCTTGGGCCCACTCACCGAATTTCGGGTCTGTGGGAGCACTCTGAAACTTTTGGGGACGAACTTTGAGCGCACTTTAGAACTTTTGACAGCCTCGGGAAAAGGCTTGAGAATTTCTTGCGTCTTCCCATTTAAGCTAGAAGCACATTTTTCTGGTTTTTTCCCAAAACTTACAAACTGCCCCTGAAGTAAATGCTGGCTGTGATGTATACTTGAACAGTTTCTGAATGCATGCGATTGGATTGACATAACAATATGTGGTACATATGATTCAGTAAAGAACCCTTTACTCAGATGAACCGTACAAATAAAAAGAAAACCCAGCTGACCATTGATTTTACTCAGTTAAACTACACAGAGAACTCACCGACCACAGTTGCGTGCTTTTTAACTTCAGCGCTCTATGAATGTGCGATTAATAATACGAGACAGCCTTCAGGAGTTAGAATGTTTGGCTAATCCAGGAACATCTAACATCAGCAGTTCAAGGGTAGGAAACTGGCAGTTTTTCATCTATAGCTTCTAGTTCTTCATGCTCGGTTCTTACTGTATGATTTGCTCCTGTAATGGTTAAGGTTCCAATATCCAATATTGATAGTGTGAGCGTAGAAAACTGGTAGTTTTTGATCTCTCGCGTCTAGTTCTTAGAGCTTGGTTCGAGTTGTTCGGTTCACTCCTGCAGTGGACGAGGAAATCCCCTCTGCTTTCTTGCTTTTAGCTTCGGTGAAGTGGATGCTTTGTGGATTAGTAAGTTGTGATTTGTAGAGAGATTAGGGAGCTATGGGTTGCTGGGATGTTTGGGGAACTGCCGTGACTCCTGTCTGTGTACGTACCTGAAAGGGAATAATAAGGTAGTGGTAAAGGAATGAAGAGAGAATAAAAAAAGAGAAGAAAGAAGATAAAACAATAGTAAGGGAAGAGAAAAGGGAAGGAGAAGAAAAGGAGGGGTGAAAAGAGAAATGAGAACGAGAGAAAGATGTTTGGGAATTGCGCGGATGGTCGCGTGGGTTTGGTTCCTACAGAAGAATTAGTAAGTAATGTGGGTGTATTAAGGAGGGAGATAGTGGGTGGTAGTTGGAGGGAGTTGGGGGCTAGTGCGGTTGGTGAATACCTGAGTAAGTCCGTGGTAGTCCATGCGAGGTGACATAACTGTCTAATCGTCTCTTGAATGAGTCGACTGAGGGAGCTATGACGATGTGTCGCGGTAAGACACTCCATAAAGCACGTACTCCCAGGGAGAAAAATTTGGACCCAAGTATGGTGTTGGCTCTCTGGTGTGCCATCTTAATGGGGTTTCCTCGTGAAGATCGTCGAGTTGCAGGCAAAATTGATTTGTTTGCATGGTCTGCCTGGTGGGCGATCTTGTATGCCATAATAAGGTCACTCCTTTTCCTGCGATAACCCAAGGTAAATAAGTTTAGGTGTTCAAGTCTTTCAGGACATGTCTTTCCCCCCAGCTCCACAACCGATTTTGTTGCAGTTCTTTGTATACTTTGAAGGGGATTAGAGTCTCTCTTGAGTGTTGGAGGAGCCACCGTATTGAGGATCTCTAGATGCGGCCGCACGTAGGATTTGAAAATGGTGAGGAAGAGTTCGGGAGTGAGGGCGCCAAGTTGTCTACGCAGAAAGTGTGGAATGGCGTTCGCTCTGGTTGTCATACCTTTGTAGTTGGAGCTGGTGTCCAAGGCGTCGGAGAAGTTGGGCCCCAAATCTTCCTCCATGGACACTCTGGTGATAGCACAGTTGCTCAACATGTACTGGAGGTCGGTCGTACTTGCTTCATTTTTACTGATGTGCATTACTTTGCACTTTTCCAGGTTGAAGCTCAGACGATTTTCCGACGACCAGTGTTCGAGTTGCTGCAAGTCCCTCTGTAGTGCAGTACAATCAGCTTCTTCGTTTACCACCCTCCAAATTTTTATGTCGTCAGAGAAGAGGAGGATGGGTGGGGATATTTTGTCTGGCAGATCGTTGACAAACAGGAGGAACAGAAGCGGTTCCTAGGATTGCTCCTTGGGATACTCCTGACTGTAAAGGAAAAATGATCTGAAAATCCCTCCCGATCACCCTTATTTGATTGTATTGACATTTATTTTAACATTTTTACCCTCGTTATGGATGGTGTACCTTTGACCCTCGCCGGTGTAATGTTATTTGCTTGTTTAACTGTCTTATTTGACTTTACACTCGGTATTTGCCTTTGTATGTTTGAGACTTATTATGAGTGTTTCACTTTCCTATTATGTGACGCTGGACTGTTGATAAGGTGATGTTGTTTTACTGCGCACGACATTTTGTTTTGGTTCAACTTACGGTTGTGCAGTGATTTGACTGTTTGTCTTTTGACTGTCTACTGGGAACGTTTGTTTGTTGATTTGATTCCTGTAGGCAGAGTTTTGATCCCTTTTGCCGGGAATATTCCTATTGACCGACAGGTATTTAACAGTTGTATTTTTTAACCAGTTTTTACCGTGTAGTACGTATTTGTACCCGAGAACGTTTTGGACTGTATAGTTACCCAACGGCACTGTTGAGGTATTTTTGTAATTTGACATAACTTATTGTTGCTTTGATAGTACCACAGATTTTGTTACGAATCTACTATTGAATTACTACAAACCGTGTTTTGATATTTCGATCCAACCTTTGACTGTGCGTCACTCGCGGAAGTTAGGAAGCTATACAGTAGAACGCAGGAACTAGTCAGATTCACGTCAGTTGGCACCGCCTAGCTATTTCCCGCGTTCAGGCCAAGATTATTGGATTCTGGCCGCTACAGTACTCAACAACCCGTCACTGCTGTACCTGGCAATCGCAAGGTGTTCCTTGAGTCAATTCCGGACGGGGAAGGTGACATGTCCATGGATCCGACCTCAGATACCAAGCAAGTCCCTCTTGATGTTATTTCATGCCGTGGCTCTGATAATGGTACAGTTATTGACTATAGTAAGACTAGTCCTTGTAGGACCTCTGCTCAGTTGAAGGTACGACAGTTGGATGAAAGGCAAGAGTTGGAACTTCGTGAATTCAAGGCTAAACAAAGACAGGAAAGGTTGCGTCTGCATAAAGAACTCAACTTAGATGTGAATGGGGGTTTAGGTGATACCTTTTCCTTGGATGATGATATAAAGTGTCACAAATCAGTTTGTCTTGGCATTGACCCTCATAGCAGTTCTGATCGTGAAACGACTAGCCAGGCGAGCAGCGCAGAAAACAAAGGGGTTGCCGCTACGTTGCCTTGTGTCAGTGTTGGCCATGAGTTACCGAAAGTAGAATTAAGCAGCTTTGACGGACATCCAGCCAAATATTGGAAGTTTATGAGGCAGTTTGAGCTCTACGTTGTCTCTAAGGTTGATGATGATGGACAGAGGCTGTTATACTTGTTACATTACTGTAAAGGTAAGGCCAGGGAGGCTATAGAGGAATGCATTATGTTACCACCATCTGCTGGTTATCGTAGGGCTCGGGATATACTCAACGTTTGTTTGGAAGGACTCATGAAGTCAGCCGGGCCTTACTACAGGATCTGATGGAATGCTCGAACATAGAACAAAACGATGCTGAGGCAATGTCGAGGTTAGCTATAAAAATGGAAAACTGCGCTATAGCCCTAGAGCAAATGGACTATACTGCGGACCTTAACTCCTTGAGAACTTTAGAAGGTATAGTAAAGAAATTGCCCCGTGTGTTACAGATGAAATGGGCGGAGACTGTCGAAAAGCTAACTGAAACCGAACGAGAACCTACCTTCGCAGAGTTAACGCAGTTTGTGTCAGCACGTGCGAGCATTTTGCTAAGTAGGTTTGGACAGCTGGCAACAAGCAGTCGACGACCAGATAGTAAAATAGCATGTTCCACGCAGCAGCTAGTACCCGTTGGGGGAGTCCTGAAACCTTCATGTATATTTTGTGGAGGGAACCATGTAGTCACAAAATGTACCACATTTCTGTCGTTACCGGTGGATGAGAGATGGTCGAAGGCTAAAGAAACAGGTTGTTGTTTTTCATGTCTTAAAAGGGGCCACAGGTCCGTAGAATGTAAAATTCACAGGGTGTGCAGTGTAGAAGGTTGTAAAGCATACCATCACCCTCTGTTACACAAGAAGACCCACCACGCCGTAGGCGAACAACCGGAGAAAGGCAGTTGTGGATGCACTGAGTCTCTCAGAGAAAGCGTGTGTTTGGGCCTACTCCCGGTACGTGTAAAGCACGGTAATAAAGAGGTTTACGGTTATGCTATCTTGGACAATGGCTCTGATACAACTTTGATCACGAAAGATGTTTTGCAACTTCTAGGATTGTCGACTGACGGCACAAAGACTATCATCAAAACTGTTAGTGGAAGTAGATTGGCGGACTCAGTCAGCAAGCCTTTCGAAGTTTATTCACTAGACGGAAACGAATGCATACTTATAGATCGAGCAGTTGTGGCAAGAGATCTCCCAGTACGGAGACCTAAAGGGTCGATGCGAGAAAGTATTAAAAGGTGGCCGCATCTGACTGACGTACCCTGGACAGAGGTGGAAGACGGGGAGGTATTGCTGCTCATCGGTTGCGATGTACCTGAGGCTCACTGGGTTCTAGATCAGAAGTTAGGGGGCAGAAAGAGCCCATATGCTGTGAGATCATTGTTGGGCTGGGTCGTGTTCGGTCCGACAAGCTTTCGTGAGCACAGGGAGAGGGTTGTGAATTGTACGTCTCGGTCAGATCTATTAGTCGATCAATGGAAGAAAATTTACGATTATGAGTTCAGCGATTTGTACTCGGGAGATAAGTCGTTATCTCTCGATGACCTAGCCGCTGTAAACATAGTGCAGCGAGGTACTTATTGGGATAATGGACATTTCGTTGTCCCCTTGCCCTGGAAAATGGAGTCCAAGAGAGTATACGGTGGATGCGAAGTAGCCAGGCGACGTTTGGAGAGTTTGAAACGCAGACTAATATCCTCTGAAAGCCTTCGCGAAAGCTACACTAGCGCCATGGAAGAGACCATCAGAAAGGGATATGCAGCAGTAGCTCCTGAGCCCCAGCTTGATCCTAGCTACCGCCCACGATGGTATTTGCCGCATCATGCCGTATTTAACCCCAAGAAACCGGGGAAGGTAAGAGTTGTGCTGGACTGCGCTGCCAAACTGTCCGGAACTTCTTTAAATGACTTCCTGTATCAGGGACCAGACACGACAGCGAACTTGGTTGGAATATTATTGCGTTTTCGCAAAGAACTGATTGCCCTGACGTCCGATGTGGAAGAAATGTTTATGCAGGTGAAAGTCCCAGAGTTTGACCGAGGTGCTCTGCGGTTCCTATGGTGGCCTCAGGGTGATTTCTCGAAGGAACCTATTGAATATCAAATGACGTCACACCCATTCGGTGCAGTGTCCTCACCGTTTTGTGCGTATTTTGCAATGGCCAAGACTGCCGAGACGTATGCCAACGATTATGATAGTTATGTGGTGGAAGCAGTGAAGCATAACTTTTATGTTGATGATTGCCTAGTGTCCTTTGCAAGCCCA